CACATTTTATAAATATAAAATTATGTATGTTAAAATATTTGTAATTAGGCACATAGGTTAGATTAAGTTTTTATTAAATAGATTAACGAATGTAAGGGCTATCTGCCTAAAGAGAGAGACGCCATCGTGGAGGAATTTTGAAGAAAAACTGACCTTTGAGTGGGTATTAAAAATGAGACTTATAATTTTCATTCAAATTATATTCATACATATTTTTTACGTAAAACTTTCGGGTGTATGCTAAATTAGTGTAAATTACTTTACACGAAAAATATAGTGAATGCACAGAAATTAAAGATTTGCACATGCCGGAAATGAAAAACAGGAAATATGTATGGGTATTTATGCATGTGCTTGCAAAAAGCATGTATCTGCCTTTGACAAAATACTTAAATATTCATTAAATTATTTATAAATGTATTTGAAATGAATTTATTCACTTATAAACAACTGTGAAAGTACTGCGAAGAAATCTAATTATTAAATGTATCTAATTTATAATGATTATAAATGTTATCTAAATATATAATAACCTTAATATTGAATTGTAAACATAAATTGAAATCCTGTTGACAAATACGTTATAAAACTATTTAAGCAAGAATTGTTCGTATTGGAAAGCAATCTGTTAAAAGGTATTGTAAAGCAAATTCTATGAGATGCGCACTTAAGAAAGTAATAAAGAGTTTTGGAATATGTATTGTTGAAATGAAGGGTAAAAAAAAATCTGATAAGTATAATTAAAAAAATTATTCCCCTTACATTTTATAATAACTCAGTTACAAGTTTTAAATAATACTTTAAAAAAATCCTTATTTTATTCCCTTTCAGAAATGTTCAGAGAAAGTTAAGTACTATTTAAAGTATTTCGCTAATTTCTAATAATTCTCTAATTTAAAATGAACCGAATAGAGCATTAATTAGAAATTGACTTACATTTTTCGATTTAAAAGAAGCCAAAAAATCATGTAATATTTAAGAAAGTATTTTAGGAAGAAGCTCTATAAATAGAAAAGAAATAATGCATAATTTTAATATTAATAATACAATAAACTTTGATCTTAATTTTTGTACCTTAACCGAATAAAATCGAATTACCTTAATTTTTTTTTCTAATGTAATTATTAACGAAAACTTGTGAAAATATTTCATTCAAATTAAACCACTCCGAGGAAAACTGTCCTGTGAAAAGTATAGCATTTAATTCCGTTCAGAATGAAATGTTGTTTAAAAAAATATGTTGTTTTCACATACTTAGGACTCTGAAGTGTTGTAGAAAAAGAAAATATATACATTTATATGTATATTTACAACGTAATTACAAAATATTTACATCCGAACGCGTCAAATCCCATTGAACTCAATGGTAAATGACCCAATGTTTTGGTCACCACGTAGGGATCGCCGGTGCTTCAGAGTAGGGTACGGGAGAAACTTGTTTAGGGCGACTCCATTTTACTTCCTACCTCCATGGTTGAGACTGTCTAGGTACACATCCTAACCAGTACTTCCCAGGCGTTCGCGTGAGTAAACCCCCGGGGGGGGAGAAATAAGGTTACATGCGACATGCGACGGAGGACGTGGGCACCACCCCTCTACCAATACGGTTAATCGGTATAGCGCCACGTCGACGTTTATCTAGATAACCATACGTGTTCATTGTGCTAATATACTAATATATAAACATACATACAAATTTGGTACTTCATACAGTGGCGTTAAAGCTAGTTAATGTTAGACACTGGATAATACATTGCCATGTTACAAGGTGTATGCAGAAGCATGGATACGATAGCATATATATACATAACGTGTGTACTCATATGTTGAGTACACTATGATCCTTTGAAGAATTATCATTAGATTACAGAAGACATGTACATACTGAAATATTAGGTGCGCAATGTTAAGTTTATAAAGTAAAGTTTTATATCTTTGAAATCTTCTTTAATGTCAAGAACTCTCAGGCCATATATGTTCCAGTTCCCATGAAAAAGTAAAGCATCAGCGCAGGAAATATCGTAGTAAAAAAGAAAGCACCTACAAATCATCGCATGCTGTTAACATCGCAGATATGTATTTATAGATTTTAAGATTTTAAATCATGTTTCCATAACGATTTATGAGACCAAGAATAAGAAGAAGGAATAACTAATGTCTTTACCTCGTATTTCATATTATTTTTGAATAAACTAATACACTTTTATTAAAAAAGCAGGTAGGAAACTTAAACAATCAAAATTTGAAAATGAGTCAAATTACTATAACGTATAACAGAATTTTAAACTTACATAGTTAACTATCAAGAGATCATCATTTAATTAACCTTTTTATAAGCAGTCTTTTAATATATTATATTTAATTTTTTTTTAAATCTATATTATACTATATTTTCATAAAAAACTAGTAATAAAACTTCATAAAAGAAGTTAACTAGTATTATAATATATAACTATAATTAACTACATAAATTAAAATTTTATTAATTGCTGTACGTAGTTTTAATTTCTACTCATTTTCAGATTTTAAAGCTTAAGTGTCATCCTTACTTTTTCAATAAAAATTTATTAAAAAATATCAAATACAGAGTCAAAAATATTCATCACTTCTTGCATTCACAAATCATTTTGCAAACATGATTTAAAATTTTAAAATCTAAAAACTACTGTCTGCTATAATTTGTAGGTGCGTTATTTTTTAGCACAATATATTGCATGACGGTGTCTTAAACGTGCAATTATTTTGCACCGCTTTGTTTTCTACAAAGATGGTTCAGAACTGCGATATTTTCTCTTTTCTTTCTTTTCTCCCTCGATGTTTTGTACGGTGATGTTTTCCTCTTGCGTTGGTGTCTTTGTAACATGTTCTACTGCAATTTGTTTGCTGCTATGTTTTTGTCTGCAACCTGTCCTTTCAATATATACCTCTGAGCTTACCATGAAAGGGAGCTGCAAATGTTCTGCGAGGTTCATTACTATAAATGTTTTAAGAAATGTTTAATCATTATCATTCCCTTTCCGTATTTCAATTACTTTTTATTTAATAATTCAATGCAGTGCAAGTGCAATAATTACATGAAGGTGTATATGCGTCCTCAGTCAATGATTACCGATTACATTCAAAAGATATATGTATATATTTTTACCAATGGCGGGTCCTCAGCCGATTTTGGCTCGGCCACTACTAGGGCTAGAAGTGGTTGTCGCTTTATTATGAACGCACCTAATAGGTGGGCCACCTTTGCCTCCTATGAAGGGACGGAGATTTACAACCCTGCCTTCTCCGGGTTCGAACCCGGGCCCTTTGGTATCTCAGTCTGCTACCCTAACCACTATACCTTCTGGGCGGTCATTCAAAAGATATCTAGAGTATCATTATTCCCAGAGCAGGAGAGAGCTGAACAAACTCAAAGGACGCGTTAAGGAGAGAAAAGTCCTCAAAAGTGTAGAATTTAGCCCAAAAGTGTTAGGCATTTTCACTTCATAGACTTATCCGGTTGGGTACTGGATAAAGTGCAAGACGAAAGAATCTGAGGGCAAGAAGACGAAAAACGTGAACTGCTGTTACTATGCTTTACCATTTTTTTCTCTAATCAGCCTGTTACATTTAAGACTCACAGAAGAATGTTCATGATTCAAAACCGACCATGAACTCTGAGTGTCACCTTGCAATTAACTCGCTCCTAAAATATCCACCATCAAGATTCCACGAGCTTTAATGGACACAGCCACGTGCCTTTATCTCAACTAGTAGGTTATCGGTAGATGAAATTCTGGAAAAAAAAGTTCGAGTTGACCGAAAAGGGTTAAGCAACATTTTGAGAAATGACCGTGCGGCATTTCACGCGGGCCTCAAACCCGCGGACTTTGTTTGCAGCGTTTTTTTTTTTTTTTTTCATAGTAACCCACATTATCAAAGGGTGCCTTTTATCAACGGATCTTTCTCGATTGCTCTCGCGATTTCATATCAAATTTCGGAACAAGGAATGAATAAACAAATGCACGGATCCTTAAAGACCACCATGAAAGCAGCATTCGATAAAATTTGCCGAACGTTACAGCTTTCCCCACGTTTCCTTCCCTTCAATTTTGTTTTGAAACATGCACTATATGGATTTTCTGCATTTCCCCCCCCACACACACACTATTAATGGCTGATTCGATGTATCATGGCAAAGTGAGATGGGATGTAAGAAACTTTGCTGCTGTAAATTTTTATTTCCTAAATGTTATGCCACTGTATTCCGTTGTTCAGCATAAGTGATTACAGTTAATTGTGGTTTAATACAATTCAATATCTATACTATTAAAAATCTGTGCGCCTCGGTCTGTTTGTTTCTTTAAGGCATTATTTTCTCCGGAACGACGGGAAGTTAAGTTTCCAGAGAGGTATCCTCGAATTCCAAAAATTCGTGGGAACCCATTTCGACCGTTACGCACGACTTTAATCAATCGAGACATTAATTAAAAATTCTGAAAACACTAATTATCGCCCTCATTTTTCATAGTGGCAACACCGTCACACACTGGAGATAAAAATATGCCTTATTTAAAAAAGTGTTGCCACTGCTCGCTTTGAAATCGTAAAGTTTGTTAATCAAAAATTTGTACGTTTTACAAAATATGAAATAAAAATAGCATTGCCAAACATCAAATAAATTATTATTATATAAGGCCATGTTCTGGCGTTGAGGAAAGCACGCGATTTCATGTGACGTCAGTGCATAAAGTGTTTCTCCCTTCTTAGCGTGCCTCAGTGATATAGTGGTCTGCACGCTCGGTTCGTATTGGAGAGGTCTTTGGTTCGATTCCCGGCGATGGCGTTGCTCATTTTTCATCTCTCCTGCTTACAATTAACCTAATGTCTCTACAGTGGCGCCTGAACTAAAAGAGTAGTGGGTGATGATTCTCCACACCCAGGATTTGGCGATTAGGTCCCCTAAACCCCAGTCGCGCTTTAAAAGGGGAGTATATAAGGTATTTTTCCCGTATTCTTAGCACGCCTTTGTGGTGTAGTGGTCTTCACACTCGACATGTATTCGAGAGGTCCGTGGTTCGATTCCCGGCGAAGGCGTTGCTCATTTTTCATCCCTCCTGCTTTCAATTAACCTAATGTCTCTACAAGTGTACGTCGAAAGTTTTTCGTTAATATCAGAATTTTGAATAAATAGTTGCTGTTGGCAATTTTTTTTTTGTTTCGGATTAAGATAATTGACACGTATGTTATTGCCACGTTAATTCTTTTATTGATATTGAGAAGAAGTTGTTATATTACTTTAAATTTCAATCATGACGTCTTATATAGAAGTATTAAACTGATGTGTCAAAAGTTTTTGTTTCCTGGTTTAGCAACAAAATATGATTTACGAATTGGTTGTTGCTAGGAAAGAATGAACTGACTTCATTCATAATGAATTAATTTTATGCACTTTAATTTCAGGTTTACATAGAACTCATAAATTGTGCTTTAGTCGCAGCTAGCAACTTCGTATACAGTACATTAATAGTTTATTTTATTTTCAGTTTCTCAGTACACAGAACTTATAAATGTTGCTTTGGTCGTAGCCCACTCATCTGGCGGGCTTGCCCGTTATTATATATGTATATTTTGAAGGAAAAAAGAGTTTATAAATGACGAAATCTGCGCCAAGAGACAATAGAATTAATGATTACAGCATCAAAATGTGTCCATTGCCATTTTGCTTCAACAGTTGTGTCTACGTGAACGTAAATTAGCACAGCTGAATTGAACTGATGCTTTATTATTAGTGAAATGCTCTGATGGAAAGCATAACTTTTTAAAATTATTCTGTTATAAGGAAAAGTGCTTTTCGCTCTTTTCCTTGCGGCTTAATGGTCAGCACATTCAATTCAATTCGGTACGGTGAAGTTTTTAAAAATTGTTGCTCCAGAACACCTAAGGACTCTATACTGGCGCTAACTGAAGGAAAAGACCGGTAATTCGTAGCACCTTTGATCTGGTCTTCTGAACGATCTGATTTTAAAACAATAATAAAACCCAATTAAAAAAAGTTTTTACACACAAAAAAAAAATTATTGAAATGGATATGATAATTTAATGCAATAATAGGAGGAAAATAATTTATAATATACGTTAAGAGGAATAATAGATAAAATAATTTTATTTACAGAATTCATTTACAATTTCATATTTTCGAATTAGCTGAAACCTTCCTGTTTACTTAACTGTTACGTAAGGGGGTCTTTGTATTAGTCTGTTGCTAGGACTTCTTCCGTTAAAATAAAATAAATTTCTTTTTCAAATTCATTCTGAAGTCAAACACGAGCTATTAAAAAACTTGTGCAGAGCTGAACAAACACAGATTAAAAAAAATATGTAACTAAAAAAATCTGAAAGCCTTCAGATTTTATATTACGTACAAAGAAGCATATTTTTACTTACATATACAAACACGTTCTGTGAGCATTTGATTTAACGCCCCTTTGGGCTAAAAATATTTAAAAACAGATATATTTAGAATTTCCGGTAGACAGTCTCGCGAGATGGAGATTTTTTTTTTTATTTTTTTTTTTTTATTTTTTTTTTTTTATTTTATTTATTTATTTATTTATTTATTTTTTATTTTTTTATTTATTTTATTTATTATTTATTTATTTTTTTGTACAGTGTTCTCACTGCTTGCTTTGAAATTATTGAGTTTTTTAATCAAAAATTCGTTAAAGTTGTGCAAAATGTGAAATAAATAATAAGACAAATTCCAAATTTGAGCTTCCAGGTGCCGATATTCGGGTGGAGGATTACGTTATTCAAAATTTGATGCCTCTAGGTACTTTTTTTACACTGCGAGAAACATACATACATTCATGCAAATTCTTCATTATTTATTTGTTTAAATATAATACAGGACAATAATATTTGGTGGCAACAATTTAGAAAGTGATTCAACGCTTTCAGTGATTCGACGTAAAATGCCGCTGCGAGATTAATAACCCTTCTCGGCTAACGGCCCTTTGGGTTAATGATTATCTTATGCATCATCATCTGTTAACAGATCTAATGAATTTCTAGAAACAAAATTTTTTCTCCGTGCGGCATTTCACGCACGGAGTATGCAAAAAAAAAAGTATGTTTTGAAACATATCATTTGACGAGTGTAAAAAACTTGCACCTTTGGTGTTTTTTTTTTTTTTTTTTTTTTTTCAAATTAGCCGTTCTTTGAACGTATATTGATTCATTTCAAAGTAGCATTACCGCTTTTTTAAATTTAATCTAAATAAATTTAAAAGGAAAGTTACATAATTTAATTATCTTGCTAAAAATTTCGTTACTTTATTGTGTATCAGTAATGAGTTGTCACATAATAATGAGTTATGACCAATGACAAAAATCATGACACATGGAACGAAGCAAGAATCGTGTATCAGCGTGCTTTTAAAATATTCTGCGCCAGAATTCATTATTTTCAAAGTGATACTCGCCTTTCCAACATATAGAAAAGACGTTATGTTGCTATGCTGTTCTGAAACTGGAAAACATTGCTGTAACATCGAAATAAAATAAGCCCTATTCTTCGCTGCGCCTTTGATATTTGCGTTCTTCCACCATTATTGGAATCGTGCCTTTGTATGAAGAATCAAGAGCAAAGAAAACCGTTATTCGAGAACTGCATTCAAAAATATGACTTGTAAATTCGATTCCAAAGGGTAAACTTCAGATGCAATATTTCCCTAGAAAGTATCTGATGTGAAATGCAGAGTATTTTATTTCAAATTTGAATGAATGCTCAAAACAGGAGATAGATTTCACTATTTGTATTTTGACACTTTAATAATACCAGCCGGAACGGGAGAAAATTGCTCATCTGTCTTAATTATTGTTGCCAATATCTCATTTTCCATAAATATTGGTAATATGTATAATATAATGCTTAACTATAATACAGCAATAATACGAGTATAATGCTTAACTATGATAGAATTCATTTCGTTTGTTGTTATTTGATTTCATTTTGAGTGTTCATTCATTATATTAATTGAGAAATTATGTATTATAAGATATTTTCTCCCTTCTTTCCGCATGCCTTCGTGGTGTAACTGTAAGTGTATTCGAGAAATCCAGGGCTCGAGTAAGGGCGAGGGCATTGCACATTTTTCCCGCCTCCTGTTACAAAAAAGCATAATTTGTCACTGCCAAGATCTGGCGATTGGGTTTCGTCACCCCCAATCGCCTCTTAAAAGGGGGAGTATATAAGGCATTTTCTCTCTCCTTTACACATGCCTTCGTGGTGTAATTGAAAGCATACTAGACTCATATTCGAGTTCTTTTCTTTTCTTTTTTTTTTTTTTTTTTTTGTTTCAGCCTTAAACTTTTTTTTAATTTACTATTTAATTTTTTCAAATTTATTTAGCACAAAGAGAGAGCTTAGAAAATATGTATTCAAAGGGGAAATATTCTTTATTATTTTATTTCAAAGCTTTTCTCCTATTACTTAAAAAGATAAAAAAAATTATAGTGGCCGATCATTTTTGTGAAACAGTGTACGTTATGCATATTCCAGTATATAATATGCATATAAAAGGCACTCGATAATATAGTGATTGGCATCAGGTTAGGTTAGCGCAAATATAATCGAAATTATATAGAAAATATCACTGCTAATCTTCAGAAATTGTAGAAAAATCTCTTTGATCATTTGATAACTAGAGTGAATGGAATTTCGAGATTAAAGAGCTTCGAATATGCATGCTAGTTCTTGTTCAAATTTATTATATTCATCTAAGCCAAAACAAATGGTATAGCTAATTGACATTCTCAGCCTAGTTACTTAAAATAACAAATTAACTGATGACACGGAACTATAATACTCACTGTTTTTCTCAAATACGTACGCTTAGACAATACTTTTTAGAAGCAGGGGAAATGAAAAAATAACTTACTCTCATCAATATTCGAACGAAGTATTTTTCATTTTCCAATTGGACATGCTAACCATTTAACCACGAAAATACGGACTGTGGAATGCAATAATTCTTTACATTCTCCTCCATTTAAGGAACGACTAAGGATAACGATGAGAACCAAGTGACAAAATCTACTAGGAGACGCGGGCACCACAATACAGAACACTAAATTCTTCAAAGCAGGAAATGTAAAAGATCAATTGTACCCTTTTCCGAATTCGAATCTTCGTACATCTTCCAGTTACCAGCTCTCATAACGTAAGTACTAACCACTTACATCTTACTTACTTGCACGCATCATCAGATTGTGGTAAGGTACGGAACTTGCAGAAGAGTTTGAGAAATGGATTTCTTCTTGAGAATTTGTTTAAATTTTACAGTTTATCATCTTCTAAACGGGAATTCTGCATCAAACGCCCCATTTCCGATTTTCACAAAGCTGCTAATAATTTGCAAAATAAGGATTTAGTTTGGCATCGTACAAATATCAACTGAAGTTCAAAACCAAACAAAGGTGGTATTTTGTTATTAATATTTATTTAAGCATGCAACTCTTAACATTTATTTTCATCATTATTAAGGCATCATCATTAAAGCAAATATAAATTTGCCTTGCATAAGATTTATATTACATGAAATTTGCTACAATGTAAGTATGCATCGGCAGAATTTCTGGACTGTTTTATAATGTATAAATATAAAAATAATAAAAGTGAGGTGTTAAATAAGGTAATAAATATAAAATGTATTAAAAGAGGAATTTAAATTCCTTTCTACTTCCTTATACGAAGTAAAGGAAGTACTGAAATTGCGAAAATTTTCCCGTATCATATTTCAACGAAAATATCCATTTTGACCACTCTCGGATCCATCTGAACGATGTTTTTGAATGACATCTATACTTATGGACAGAATAAAGGACTCTTTTTTTCAAAACGGATTGTAAAATGGATCTAAAATGGATTCAAAAGATACTTTTTTCCGTGACGTCTGTTCGTACGCACTTTTTATTACTTTGCAGCTTTAGCGCAAGTGTTAGGTAATTTATTACGATTAATTAAATTGTTTTTATATATATAAATGTAATAAAAACAATAGAAAATGACGTAGTGGTAATGTTGAAGGCGTAGC